TTGGTGAGTTGAGACCATTGACATTGATGGTTATAACTGATACGTATTGACTTATCATTGTCATGACATTTTCTTTTTGTTGGATTCTCCCCCTTAGCTTTTAATTTCTTGTGGCCAGTGGATTCATTCTGCTGGGCTTCCTGGGGTTGTGATCCTCATTGTCTTTTCCTAGGATATCGTCTAAAATTTTTTGGAGTGCCGGTTTGGTATTCATGAAGTTCTTGAGGTGCTCTTTATCATGAAAGTATCTTATTTCTCCATCAATTTTGAAAGATAGTTTTGCAGGGTACATCAATCTGGGTTGGAGGCTGTTTTCCTTTAGGGCTTGAAATACATCACTCCAAGCTCTTCTTGCCTTGAGGGTTTGCATTGAGAAGTCTGCTGTGATTCTGATGGGCTTTCCTTTGTATGTGATTTGTTTCTTTTCTCTCACTGCTTGTAGAACTTTGTTCTTCTGTTGGGTTTCTGGAATCTTAACAATTATATGTCTTTGTGTAGATTTTTTTTTTGATCAAGGCTATTTGGAGTCCCATATGCCTCACTTATCTGTATGTCAAGTTCTTTTCCCCTGCTTGGGAAGTTTTCTGCCATCACTTCTGTGAACAGTTTTTTTTTATGTCATCTGCACTCTCTCCTGTTTCTTCATTGACTTTAGTCAGTCTTATGTTATTGTTTTTTGCATCATCTAACAGCTGCTGTATTGATTTCTCGTGGTTGCTTACAATTTTAAAGAAACTTTTCTTTTCCTAGTAACTCTGATCGGTCTTATGTTATTCTTCTTTGCATTGTCTCATAGCTGCTGGATTGGTTTCTTGTGGTCCCTTACTATTTTAAAGCAATTTTTCTTTTCCTGGTCTCTAATTGCAATCTTATTTTCTATGTCTGAAATTCTGTCCTCACATTGGCTCATTTTTCTGTGTAAGCTTTCAATGGAGTTTTTCATCTCCTGGAACTCTGTTTGCATCTGTTTTATGGATTCCATTTTTTTCCTATGTTGGGATTCCATCATGTTCCTCAGTTCCTCTATTTTTTTAATCTGTGTCTTCTCTAGATTTATTAATCGTGTCTTGCACTATGGGCAGAATCTCTGCTGTTATCTGAGAAATTATTTCTGATTTTATTTTTTCCAGATCCTCTTTTGTTGCCTATTCAGGGAGTCTAGGTTGTTGCATGTCAGAGTGTTCCATCTCATTTCCCTTTGGGGTTGCTTTAGGTGATCTGGAAGTCTGGTTTTGAGACTTGTTTACGTGTCTTCTCATCTTGATGGCAGGGGCAGTTGTTGCTGGCACCCGTGTGGCTCAACTCCTGTGCACTGGAGGAAGGGGTGGTATGGCAGCCTGCGAGCCTCCTCCTGGGCTCTGGGAGCAGCTCACCTGTGCTGCACTGGGGCAGGGGACCAAAATGAATTCTTAAGTCTTTGACTATATTTAAGCATAATTAAAATAATAATAATGATAGCAATAGTAGCAGTATATAAAATTAATCGAGTGCTAGTCTTTGTGCCAGATATCTGATGTGTCTTCATATAATATTAAATTCAGTTCTATTACAGTGTTTCTGATGCAAATTTGACCTATGCTGACTCTGACTCTGGAGGAAGCCCCACTGTTCACTTTACTACCTTGCTCTGGAGGCAAATGCTGAAACAGTATTATTTCATCAGTTACACCATTTGCAGGTGAAACTTTTCCTAAGTATTGCTATCTACTGGCAAAAACTCAGGAAGAAAATTAGGTATTTAAAAATATTTGCCACATCTAAATTTACATCCTTCTAGCTCATTTATCTAATAAATTAAAACAGTATTGACCATTGTACTAAACATGAATGATAAAAACTTTTAACAAATACAAATACATTGTCTGTATTCATAAAGCTAATAGTTTAATGGGGAGATTTTCTATAAAATTGTCATAAACACAAAACTGTATACCTAAGACAAGAAGTTATGTATTTCCAAATACTATGAATAGGAAACACAAAGCAACATGCATACCATATACTTGCCAAAATCTAAGACTAGTAAGCCTATTGATATAACTGTCTTTCTCAAGGACCATAGGACAGGCTATAAGCACACGTTAAATTACATTGAAAGGGCACAACTTGCTTAATTGAGAATGTGAAATAGTCTATAAGTGATCCAGTATTTTTAACAAATCTTATAAGAAAAAATAAATTGACATCAGAATATAATTAGTAGCACTCCAAACAAATGCAAGTATAATCCTTGTTTGTACTTTTATTTGAACAAATAAACTGTGAAATAATTATTTAGTTGTTTATGGTAGTGCTGTCTTATAATCCCAGCCCTCTTGCAGGCTGAGGCAGGAGGACTGCAAGTTTGACTCCCAACCTAGGCAACTTAAAATGACTTAGCAAGACTCTGGCTCAAAATAAAAATTAAAAAATCTGAGAATGTAGTTCAGTGTGAATGCCCTTGATTGAATTCCCAGTACTGAAAAAAAAATTGAGTAATGAAAGAAAACAGTATTTTCTGGGTATTGGGTAATATTAATAAATTACTAATGTTGCTGGCATGCAGTAGTATTATGACATATGCTTTTTAAGGAGCTTCATCTGAAAATTATACAATATCAGGATTTTATACATTTTTTTCAAATAAATGAGTTGAAAATAAACAGAAGAGAAGAATATAATGTTACGAATTGTTGAGGCTAGATATTGAGTCCCTATGGTTCACTATATGATTATTTATATTTTAAAAATGAAATGAAAGAAGTACAATGAAGCAGAGAGGCGTGATACATTGAGAACCTTTAATAAAGGATCTCTCATAAAAAAATAGGGGATTTCTCAGTCAAAAAATTTAGATTGAGATGTACAGAAGGAACCTATGCTGAAGGACGGGAGCAGGAGTCAGGGGATTAGGAAGATAGAATGGCTGCATACAGAGAGCAAGTCTGAACCTGATGAACATATCAGATATTTGCAGCTGAGTAAATGCAAAACATTACAGTATTCACTAAGTTCTTCATTATTAATGCTTATGATATAAAGAAAATTTAAGTGAGTTTTGAGAAGTGCCCTTTTCCAATCTAATCTCATTGGATTGTCTAAATTTCAGGCAGATACTCTTATTAGCTCTTAAATTTCCCAAACAGAACAGTTGTTGAGTTATAATATTCTAAATTTGCTTTGGAAATAGCTATATCAGTAGTTGTCCAATACACAGCCATTCATTCAACATTTATAAGTAGTTCAATTGAAGTAAATATATTACTAAACTAATGTGTGGTCCATTCACTGTGTGGTCTAAAATATGTTCACAGTTTATGCCAAATGAGTAGAAAACTGAACACTGAGTCAGTCTACCAACAATCACATTACTGCCAGCCTCCCCTTCCCTACTCTCACACAAAAACAATTTGCTTTGCTGGACTACTCTTTTGCAAACAAACATTGTGATTATCTGACATAGTTCCATGAGAAACAATTCCTCTGTATTAAAAATATTTGTTGAGGATTTCACACTGTATCACAAAGTATCATCTTTATGCAGATACACATCTGGGAGATCCTTGTTAGATATTAGTAACAATAAATTTATTTCTATTGGTTTTTATTTCATAGAAATTTGGAATCGTATAATTCATAACTTCCATGTTATATAACCTTGTAATTCAGTGAAAATTTTATCTGAGATCAGCATTTCTTAAGTAAATAATTTAAACTCAGCTACTGAGATTTCAACTAAAAGTAAGCGAGGGAATAAAGCTCTGCAAAATTCAGAGAATCTGTCATTTTCCTGATGAAACTCAGTGTGCAGTTTCAACCTCTAGGTTTGGTATTTAAGAAATTAGAGGAGTCTTGCCTGATGCTGAGTGAGACGAATATGATGACTCCCTGGATATCTATAGTGCTACCTCAGGTGTAGAGTAGCAGAACTTACCTACCAGAGAACTATGCTGGGTACAGGTAATTGATGAGCCTTGGGCATTATTACCTCAGTGTGAGGGCAGCAGTAGGCTCCTTGCCAGTTAACTTTATTTCAGGGCAGTCCCACCTGTTTACCTCAAGTCAAGTAGCATACAAATATTATCATTCTTTGTGTGTATCCAGTGTAAAAACAGTTAGTGTTAATACCGTGTGCTGTCGTCCATCTATTATCATGTTTCCACATGATCACTGGAAGCATATCTGGCTATTCTTGTGATTGTTATGATTGTGTAGCACTTGTAATATCTACATCAAAATCTATGATTTTGAGTATCTTTACAATTCTTTTTAACCCTGTTACAAAGATGAACAAAGCAAAACACCTCTTAAAATGTTACTCAAAAGGTATGAGGGAAAAAGGAAATTATTCCTTTTGGAACAATATCCTATTCTGTTAGTTTAGTATCATACATGTTCTGTCCAAGTCAGCTTTTTAAAATATATTGGAATACCTGATACTCTTTAAAACTCATTTCATCATCAAAAATCCAAATCATTTTTATTTCTCCAGGAGAATTTTAAAAATTATACACATAACATATATTTAAGCAAAAAACAAACAAACAAAACACGTTAAGGTGCGGGGGAAATATTCATTAGCATATTTAAAATTGAACATTTTACCATAGTTTTGCACTCGATGTTGACTTCTTTCTCAAACTTAAATAATACCACTAACATTGAGTGGTCTTTATTTTTATTTTTGAACTCAGCATAAAATTTTATTGACTACAGACCAGGGATTTAGCTCAGTGGTTCCGGCACCTGCCTCACAAGCACAAGGTCCCAAGTTCAATCCCTGGTACCAAAACAAACAAACAAACAAAATTTTATTAACTACATAATACTCGGTTTTTTAAATATAATCCTAAATCAGTTTAATACTGGAAGTAATGCAGAGATTTTCAAATGATAGAACCCAAAGAGATTCCTAGAAGTAAGAATCAGCATTTTTAGAAAGGTTTTAACCTTTTTACAGTTGTAGTTTAGGACTTTTAAAAGGGAGAGGCCAATATTATATGTACTAAATTTATTTTCAGACCAAAACCACACAAATAGAAATGAAGAAAAGATTACCAACTTGCCTGAGCACTTCAGTGGAAATGTTGGAAGAGTCTACTTTCAGACATAAAGAAGGTAAAGTAAATAATATAAAAACACAAAACAATTAGACATTCAAGGAGGAGGTATTATGATATTCGTAACACTCACTTTTAAGGAAATCTTCATCTTTTCAGAATTTAGATGATTATAACCAAAATTTTTAAATAATATAATTTTTTCATTCATTAATATTATTGGTATATTTTAGGTATACAATATGCTGACATTCATCATTGGAAATTTGCATCTTTACATAGTCTCTCTTGGTTCTTATTTTTTCCCCATTCCCCTGCTCTCCCTTCAACCCCTCCACCCCCCCTATTTACCAAGACTTTGCTTCCATTTTTTCCTTTTCTCATATTTATTCCTTTCCCCTCTTCCCTTTCCCCTACCCCTCCCACTTTCCCTTCCCCTTTAGACCTTTTCTTCCTATCTCACATTTCTAACAATTTAAAAAAACATGCAGGTGAACTACATAGTCTAGAAATATTGAAAAAATTAAGATAAAGATGTTTCATGAATGCACAAAACATGTAGATAATAATCTATTTTATTGTTTACAACTGTGTCCACAAATTATAAAAACTTAAAATTGTCAAAACTTATGTACATAAACAAACCTAACATGTTAACATTTGCAGCCAAGAGAAATGTAAAGATGCAATCCTTAATCATAATTTTGGAAAATAAACTGTAGCACATACTATAATACTTTTATAGTCACCTTCCATTATTACAATGAGCAAAGTTAGGAATAAACTCAGGAAAACTCTGTATGATGCTAATCGTCTCTATATGAGCAGGTCATCTCTCGGTACATTGCATATCACAGTAAAAAGAAATCTGTGATTTTCACATCTATTCATTAGTCAGATACAGACAAAAGATAAGGATACATGTCCATAAAGCTTCTAGTTAGCAATAGAGTATTCATCCATAAGTTTTAGGAGATTCAGAAAGTTACATCAGAATCTTCTACTTTCTTTGTCTCTGATCTCTGTGTTGTTCAAGGGCCAGTTGTATTCCATACTATTTCAAGATCCTTTCTAGATTCATCTCTACATTTTTTACGTGTAACCTGTAATTCTTTATTATGAATAATATTGACAGCCACCATGTTGTAAAGCATATAAATGTAGAAATTTTAAATCATAATGTTTTCACCTTTATTCCATTTGTTTTCTTGAGATCTATTTAATGTTTTTCCTTTAATGCATACTTTTCTTTATTTTCATTTATCTAAATAGAAAACACAAATAAAAGAAAATTACTTCACTCTACTTTTTATTATCATAGATTATTTCTATTAGCTGATTTGCTAATTCCAAATCAAATCTTGCCTTTGTATGTAAAAGTCAAAAATGTCTACTAGCTAGAAGTGAAACAATTTTAATCTTTAACTTTTCTCTCGTTTCAGAATTTAACAAATCCAGGAAGAAATGCCCATTGTGTTGGTATAGGATTGCAAAAGCTTTCTTGATCTGGGATTGTTCTCTTTGTTGGCTAAAATTGAAAGACTTTGTGCATAGGATTATAATGAACCCATTTACTGATCTTTTTATTTTCATATGCATAATTTTAAACACACATATTTTGGCCTTGGAGCATTACCCAATGAGTGAAGACACCTCTTATTTTCTCAGCATTGGAAACATAGTAAGACTCATTGTACATTATTTTCATGTACAATTTCATCATTACTATTGGATTATTCATTATTATTCTCATTTTTTTATGTCATAACTTCAGTTCCAGTACATATTATTACATTCTTGTTGAGTGAAGCATTAAGTTCATGCTTTACCCCCTTGCCCAACCTCTCAACTTGTAAATGTTATTATCAAATAGTTCTGGAACTGCCACTTAAAATATTGTGGCTTAAATTCTGAATTCTGAGTCAGCTGCTTGCTAGTCAGATTTGATGGAAATTATATATTGCCTGTCCCTCCTCAAATATGCAGTCTTGGTACCATTGTCCCATAGGTTAGAGTAGACAGGTGGAAGAACAGACACCAGTACCTGAACTCTGAATCCTGAATCCTGACTAAAGCAATGCCTGGCCCTGTCTGTTTTGTTTGTTTGCCTTACATTGGAGATTATCATTTTGACAAGGTATTTTTGAGATTCACCTGTCCTTTTCCAAATAAAGTTTAAAAACAAAATACATTAACAAAAATTTATATTATTTACATATCCTAGCTTTTATTGTTATTTTAGTTGCTTAGGACCAATATAAACAATGAAACTGATATTAATCAGTTTTGAGCTCTACATTTACTAGATATTAAATCAGTAATTTAGTTATTTCTGCCAGTGCAGTCTTTAAAAGACATTTTCCACAGATTTGCCATTTTATTCTGGATAGTGTTTGTCCATTTTTATTCTTTCATAGGTTGAAAAATTGAATTTCTTAACATATATTTCATTTCTCAAAATGAACAATTCAAAATGGAAAGATTTTTTCACCCTCAAATATCCTTTTGTTTTCTGCAAGAATGACATTTATTAAAATAATCAGTCATTTCATAGATGGTGTCTGACATGTGATAGTTCAATACAATGTATGTGTCTTTTGTCATAATGCAGAATCCAAACTAACCCGATCTTGAGTGAGGTTTTGGGGAATGTGAGGGTGAAAAGTTGCCACTGTGCTACAGTTTCTGTGTATGACATTTCTGATATAAGTATTGGAATAATTGTTCCCTATGTGTTTGTTCATTTCTATTTAGGCTTGTATTGGAATCTTTACAGCAGAAATGATTCTTAAAATAATTGCCATGCATCCATATCAATATTTTCAAGTAGGATGGAACATTTTCGACAGCATAATTGTATTCCTTGGCTTGACAGAACTTTTTCTAGCAAGTATTGAAAGACTGAGTATAGTAAGTAGAATCTAAGTTGTAATTTTTATTTTACCAGTTTATCTCAGTTTTCTCAACCATAAAATGAGATGTTTGGAACATAAAGTTTCCTCATTTGAACAGTGGGAGCATTCAGTGAATTGATCCACATATAAAGAACTTAGTGAAAGTAAGCTATTTCCAATGCTGTTATTTGATCCAAGTTTTAAAGTAAATAGGGCCATACATGCAGCACATTTCATATGCAGTTGTAGAAACCAGAGCTAGCATAATTGAAGATTTTTTTAAAAGCAAGATAGTGAGTTCTAAAAGTGGAATGCCAATTTCTTACTAAAAAACTGGGAATAAATAAGTATTTCTAAATGTGGAGTAAAACATTTATTTTCAAAGTCAAATATTACTATGAAGTTTATTAGGTAAGAATCATTTGTGTCTACAAGCTAGGGAAGTAGTGAGAATAAGAAAAACTAAGCAAAGAAAAATGATATTAAACAGTATTTATGGACACGTTAAGCATTCAATAAGTAACATACTGTCATGTTCTGGTGACCAATTGAAAGAATGTAGCAGGAATCAGAAACAATGAAGCAGATTGTATCTTATCCAAATGATTATTTCCTAGAGGGCAGCTTCTTCAGAACCCTGTCTTAAATCTTCAACAATCAATTCAATGAACAAGAGAAATGTATACAGAATGCAGATATCAAATTTATGATGAATAAGACTGGCAAATACAGGAAATATGCTAAAATATATTAAAATATATTTAAGTCTAGTAGTAGACTGTATCTAAGATGACTAAAATTTACATAGGTAAATGTAAAGTCTTACTTGAGAGTCCAGAAAACCAAATATTATATATATGTGTGTGAAAAATCAAGAAGGTATAACATATATTAAAGTTTTATGAGTTTTAGATGACTGTATGTACACTGTAAAATAATAACAGAAATTTTAAGATGATTTTATACTGTCTAAATACAAATGAAATACCTGGTGAAAGAAGAGTAGTGTGTATATTAAACCTGGAATGTTGTACTTGGTCTTTGGCATGTTAATTTTTAGTAGGATCTTCAGGGGAATTCAATGGATCCTGAAAAACTTTTTTAATATCACCAGTATGTCATAATTTGGAAAAATAGCCAATACATTGTGAAAAGCAAATCAAAGAATGGATACTAGTTCTGCCAGATATTAAAAAATAAAACTTTAATAATTATGAGTATAATATTGAATGAGAATTGACAAATTGATCAATAGAAGGGGTTATATATACATTTACTGTACAAAGTTGTGTAATATGTAAGTTTTATCAAAACTTTTGTGTAAAATAAATATTCAGTGGTTAGTATTAATGCCTAACACTGAAGGTTACTTTAAAGGCTGTGTGTGTGTGAGTATAGTGCTGCTACAAATTTTAAATGTATGTTATAACAAATACTGACCGGGTTTTCCTGTTGTTTACTTCTTTAAAATTTTTTTTTCATATTGTCCTTTTAGTTGCAAATTTTCAAGTTGGGGAAATACTGGCCAACATTTAGGAGGCTGATACTGACTCTTGGTAACTCATTAATGGCCCTGAAAGACTTGATTCTGCTGTTGTTCACATTCGTCTTCTTTTCTGCTGTATTTGGCATGAAGCTGTTTGGCCAGAGTTACAAAGATTGTGTCTGCCGCATAGACAAAGATTGTCACCTCCCACGCTGGCACATGCATGACTTCTTTCACTCCTACCTGCTGGTGTTCCGAATTTTGTGTGGAGAATGGATAGAGACCTTATGGGACTGCATGGAAGTAGGGGGCCAATCCTCATGCATTTGTTTTTACATGATGGTCATTTTGATTGGAAACTTATTGGTAAGTATTTCATGCCTTCACATTGTCCTTGAAAGTAATAGTACAATATACTTTGGTATCTTCATGATGTAGATTGAGAAAGTCCAGTGATCTGTAACTGGATTGTTCGATATTGGGACCACTAGCCCTGTCGGCTCTTACCAGATAAAATATGGCTGATCTAATGCCAGATGTACAGTAAATGTATAATACACATATACTTTATAATCTTTCCGAAAAATAATGTAAATTGTCATTAATAATTTTATATTGAATGCATTTAAAATAATATCTGTATTTAACTAAGTACATTTAGTTAAATAAGATACATTATTAAAGGTAGTTTTACCTGTTTTCTGTTTATACTTAACACTTTGTTTAAAATTGCGTATGTAATATATCATATTTCTATTGGATAGTACTAGTTTATAACCTTGTTACTCAAAGTAATACTGACATCATACAGTGATGGCGAACCTTTTAGAGTCGGAGTGCCAAACTACAACCCTGAACCCACTTATTTATCACAAAGTGCCAACACTGCAATTAAACCCAAATACTGAGGTTTTAGTTTAGAAAAAACAACTCTATGTTAACATCTTTTGTCTTAAAAGAAAAACACAACAACACGTGTGCCATAGGTTCCCCACCACTGAGAGGTCATTAGAAATGTAGACTTAGATAATACACTACATCTGTGGAAGAATAATCTACATTGCAACAAAAGTCCTCAGATGATTCAAGTGCTTGTTAATTTTTCAAAAGCACTTAAATGTAACACTGGTTGTCAAATTTGCCTGCACTTTGCAACTATCTAAACAATTAATAAATTTTGCTGATCCTTTAGATCCATTCCCAGCATTTCTGATTTTATTGATATGTGCATATGTCTTGGATATCAGTTTTTTAAAAAATTCTCATTTGACTTAAGAGTGCAACAAAGATTGTAACCCATTGGTTCATAAAACTGTTTTGCCAAAGCTTTCACTTTTAAACGTCCTAATAATTAAATTTGCATTATATAAATCAAATAAGTAGCTTAAACTGCTTATAGGAAAAGGGTATGGTTTATAAATGAAAATTATTATTACAGGAAAAAAAGGACTCAGTATTTGCTTTTTCCTCATATATCACGAAGATCAAATACATTTAAAATAAAAAACAATTCATAGATTACACCTAATTTTTTCTGTGGTATTCATTCCTTGTTTTAATCTCAGAAATCACATTGTTATACATTTATTACATTGCTGTTGTGTGTATTTGTTGATGTAATGGTCCATCTTCCTCATGCAACTGTTAGCTTCATGAGGGAAGGCACCATGAAGACCCTTATCAGGAAGCTTGGAGTAGTGCTCAACATGTAAAACTAATTCAATACCCTCTGTCCTTAGTAGCTATTAGTACACTTTCAACCTCCAGTGATATCAAAGACTTCTATGTGCCTGAAACAAAGCTGAGCTGATATGCCACTATATAAAACACAAAGTATCAGCAATTGATCATCCTTCCATTGTGGTATGGCACAGACATTCAAACAGAGTTATTCTAGGCAAGACTTTGTACATCTCAGTTCTGTCTTCCTCTGGCTTCTTACTGTTTGTCAGAATGGCTCCTGCAGGCTAACACTTCACATCCTCACATTGCCACAATATATAAAGTCCAGCAGAAGAGGGATTTTTTTCCTAGAAGCCACAGGAAACTTTTCCTGTTGTCTCATTAACTCTCATGCTCATTTCCAAACTAATCTCTCTACTTCCCAAGGCATGGGATACATTTATTATATTAAGTCACTGAGAGCTCTTCCTTGAAGGTAGAGTTAACATCAGTCCAAGCCCAAATTATACAACTTATAGGGCTAATAATGGTAAAAGGGTAATTCCCCAAATTCTGTGTAAATTTCTATCTCTAAAAGAAAGGACTTTGACTGTTATGACTGGTGAGAGAAGCAACCACTACACACACACACACACACACACACACACACACACACACATGCACTTGCACAGAAACACACATAGACACAGGGGTAAAGAGAGAGAGAGAGAGAGACGGAGAGAGAGAGATCATAAAAGGCAGAAATGCTAAGACAAATTTGTAAACTCTGGTCTATTTTTCTTATTTCTGCTGATTAGAAACTTCAAGTCATACTCTTCCATTTCCAGTTAGCCATCATATTTCTATAGATCTTTAAGCTTTATTTCTCTTAATAGTCATCCATTTGTGGGACACTGTGATCATAACACAAGAGTAAATATAAAGGAGGGGATAAATGAAAGGGAATACATTATGAAGATGCTGATCTTTTAACCTTCCATAGTTCCGATGTGAAAAAGGAAGGCATTCTATATTTTTTTAAAAATTAAATTTTATCTTACTCCAAAAGAAAAATTGCAATGACTCTAAGCTATAAGTAAAAGTATTTTCTTTAAAAATATGGAAAAGCAACTGTTTAATTTGGTTTTTAAATACTTCTATCATTTTCTGTTGCAGAAAACGTAGAATTCAGATTTTAAAAATCCACAGGTTCAATTCCCAGTTCTGTCATTTACTAAGTCTCTTCATATAATGCATGCTCTTTAAGTCTGACTACATTTAACGGGGGAATAAACATAATAGTAATACAACCCTTATAGTGTCACTGTAATTAATTATCATCCTGCACCCTATAAATGATTAATTTCTTTATATTATAGTAAATTTCAAATAATTATTTAATATTATTTAGAAATTTTAACTCCTTATAAACACAGATTCCTTCCAAATGTTTTGCCCACAATTTAGATACTTGTCACCAGGTGGATTATAGTATCTAGTATGGTTGCATAAATCAAACCAGAAGGGATAAAAACATGAAAAGATATTGAAAACGATATGAAATTGAATTTAAGTTTGAGCTTAGTGTGTATGTTATTCATACATATTTATATGTATAAATTAAATATGTATCAAGGCATCATTATAATAATAGGAAAACAAAAACATCTCAATATTTGATATGTTCCTGATCCATATTTATTTCTTGATTCCCATCTGAAAAATACTGACTTAACCAAGCTTTGAATATTTCTTCTCTTTCATCCTATTTGATTTTGATATGAGTGTTCAAGTCTCACTTTTCTTTTTTTTGAATTCTCGCTTTTTATATGTATATCTTTCAGGAGGCTGAGAGAAAATTTCTGGGGAAACTTTCAAATGTTTTGTTTTATACATATTATTTTACTTTTTTTTCCATAGCACAGAAACAATAAATGTTTCTTTTGAACTTTGCTATAATATTATGAATAGAACATAGTTACTTTACCTATGTGATGTAATCTCTTTCCTCTTCTTTTTATTAATGTTCAAATTAGAAGTAATCAGTCATCCATAATTGGGGCCATTTAGACAACCTGGCTATTATTTTTTAATATTTAAGAGATGAAGTTATTTTTAATTTGCAGCACATCTCTGTAAAAGAGTAGAAGTTTGCATTGCTATAAAGCTCTTTCCTTCTATCACAGTTCTAGAGCACTTTGAACCATTAAAGCTAATTTAATTTTAGCCTTTTAACATTCTCATTACACATCCAAAGGTGTTTACATGTCTGTTTATGATATAAGAAATCTTAGATTGTCATCTCCAGAAACATAATCATCAGAATATACATTTTTATTTTCCAAAAAGTCCACACTGTATTGTCCAAAATGTATTTTTATTCATTCTATAATTAACATTTAAGAAATGTTTATGACATACTTTTTTCTAGCAGTGTGCTGAGTCATTTTGGGTTGTATCTTGTACCCTAAGTAACTACTTTGGAGGTAATGATATACAATGTAGTGACTATTTTTATTCTTATTATTTGATTATGAAATTGTATTTATTCATAAAATAAACAATGGAAACTTTTAAAAGAGAGAAATATGGGTCTTTGCTTATAAAAAGCCTACAATCATGAAATTTTGACCTAGCATCTTTTCCTTATTTTGCACTATGCCCAATACTTAACCAAATAAAGTAATTTAAAAGTATTTTAAGTAACTATAATTATAGTTAAGAATTAAATGTATTCTTATTTTAAAAGTAGATTTCAGTATGTGAAAAAATTAGAAACATGGGAGTAAAAGTTTATTATGTAAATTTAAGTATATAATTTGATATATAAAATATATTATTAAGCACAATTTATGCACTTTAAACATTTCCATTTATAAATTATATGTAAAACAAAATAAATCTTCAAAATTTCAAATATCCCAAGAAAGGACAGAAAACTACCAGAATAAATAAAATGCTGAAATTATTACTATAGGTCTAATACATTAATAACTATAAATCTGCACAGCACCATAATCTAAAAAAACCCACTATATGCTATAATTACAAAATAAAATAAAATCTAGTTCTCTATAATCTGAGCAGGCCTTGGCTATATTTCTTAATTTAAAATGTGCACATTCTTGGGCTCAAACTGAAGTATTAGAAATAATTCTTTCACAACTCATTTTTTGTATGAACAAATTTATTACAATAGAAAATCAACAGATCTATCCAACACCTGTGTTTGCATTCTCAGTAATTACCACAAATGTTGTGAGGACCTTGGATAGCTCCTGCTTGTTGCTTTGCAGAATCACTGCTTGCCTCATCACTAGGATAAGGCTGAAGTTCAAACAGCTGCCTAAAGCAATGATTCATTGTCTCACCTTGAGTAAAAACAGCCTGGCACAGTGACAAAATAAGCTTTGGGATAAGGCAGACTTGAGTCTAATATTTGATGTCCATAAGCCTTTCTTGTTCATCTGTATAAGAGAAACAACTCATTACACAGGTTTCTGTGAGCCTGAAATGAGCTCTAGCTACACAAACTCAGGCTAGCACCTGGCACATCATTGGTGAAGACAAACTGAGCAACATTATAGTGCACACGCACACACACACACACACACACACACACTTTTCAGGTCTTAGATCCACATGTTTAGAAGATTGTTTTATATTATTTAAAAGGAAAAAAGTGATATATAATTCACTTCCTTTTACTTTTTTACTTAGATCCTTTACCTCTTTCTGGGATGTGTGAGTTCATTTCTTTCATACAAAGATGCAACAACTGAAGAGAACAATGAAGCAAAAAATATCCAGCTTGCAATAGCAAGCATTAAGAAAGGAATAAACTATGTACTTGTTAAAATATTGTGCAAAAAACAAAATATTCAAGAGAAAACAACGGACCATGTAAATGATACATATGTTAAAGAGAATATTTCAGATCATACACTTTCTGAACTGAGCAATACCCAAGATCTCCCCCAAGACAAGGAGAAAATCAGTGACACAGAGAAAAACACGATGACTGAAAATGAGAGTCAGTCACTCATGCCCAGTCCCAGTGTCTCTGAGACTGTACCAATTGCTTCAGGAGAATCTGACATAGAAAATCTAGATAACAAGGAAATTCAGAGCAAGTCAGAAAGTGGAGAGAGCAAAGGGGTAAGACGCTTTATTCCTTATTATTTGCTAAAAGTGTTTATGATGCTCTTCATAAGCAGGTAAATCAATGATGAGTTTCCAGGTACATATTACACATCAAATATAAGCTCTATCACTCCTAGTTCTTGATTTTATCCTCTTGAGCATATTACTTAAATTTTCTAGGTTTTATTTTCCTTGTGTGTAAGGGAGGATAAAGTACTTCTTGGGAAGCATAAAAAGAATAAGAAAAAAATGGTTCAATAGTAACTGCACATAAAAGATTGATATGTGTAAGCATTTAGGAAAATTAGATGGTGTGATTGTGAAATTCTATAAATCAGTATGCAGGCAGTTTGAAAAGTATGAAAAGCATACTAAAGAATTTGTTTGTAAAATCTATGTGTATGATTGGAGAAATCAGATTTACCTGGTATTTGCCATCTTGAAAATGTGAAATGGGATTAGTAAAGAGCAAACATTTGTACTTGCTTAAATTGTAAGATTCCAGTTATTTCATTTCTGCAATATATAAACATATAATTAAGTTGAATAAAAAGAAAGGAAAAAAACCAGCTTTAATTGTAAATAGCTGGTAGTTTCATAAGCCCTTGGCTAAAAAAAAAAGTCAAGGCCATATTTTCAAACTGGTAGCTATTGTTGTTTACTTAGCTTCTAAAATGTGCTCCCTCTAGAAATGTCTTATTATCTCCATCTGCAAGCAGTATAATGACTTAGGAGGAGGTGTTCTTTAACAAAAAGCTAAATCTACAGCAGTCACATCTGCACTATGGGGTTCTTGCTTTGGGTCCCATTGGGGAATCATCTCAGGCCACTTAAAGGCCTGAGCAGCCCAGGGAATGTGTCTTTGCAGGTTGCCAATATCTCTGGTGCCATATTTCCCCAAACCTCTTCTGGGTGGGCAGATTTGCTCTGCAATAACTTCTGAATTGATCTAACAGCAATTGAGATTCAAATATTCAGGGTCCTCCAGAACCTTTGTTTTAGGTAGGGAGACATTTTCACTCCTTAAGGTGGCCAGTATTTTCAATTTTAGTTAACTTTCAATTAATTAATACCATTATAAGACTGAAGAAATTCCTACCAATCACATTTCTCTATTTTATCTGAATTCTTTGACTACTGACTCTCTGTCTCTGGACAAAATTGCTTTTTACCACATTGCATCATGTTGGGAAATCCCTGAAAACTTTCTGATAATTAGATTGGAAAGTTTAGACTTTAAAAATACATAAGAAAATCCTAGTTCAATCCCTGGTACCAAAAAAAAAAAAAAAAAACCGCATAAGAAAGATGTAACATAAAATAACAAGAATTTTTGAAATTTCAAAAGTCGCCACTTATGCTACATGATTATTTGGTCCTATTGATTGGTAAAATACAAAAGATTTGTTGATTAATATATATGTTTATATCTGCCTTTAATTTAGTCAGACTTTATTTGGATTATGTAGCTCATGAATATTTAACATTCAGATCTGGGAAAGTGAAAGAATAAAACAAAACCACATGTGATGTTATAATGAGAGATACGCATTTCTTTGATATTTGCACCTCTGATCCTTTTTATTACAAAAATGTGTGTTTCTGTGTGTATACAAGTAACAATCTTTTAATGTGAAATAGGAAGAAAAGGGGCAAAGGGGAGGGGGAAGTGGGAGGGGTAGGGGAAAGGAAAGAGGGGAATGGAATTAATATGAGAAAATGAGAAAATGGAAACAAAGTCTTTGTAAATCGGGAGGGATGGAGGGGTCGAAGGGAGGGCAGGGGAAGGGGGAAACATAAGAACCAAGAGAGTATGTAAAGGTGCATATCTCCAATGATGAATGTCATTATGTTGTACACCTAAAATGTACCAATAAAAGGATAAAAAAAAAAAAAAAAAAAACCAAAACAAATAACAATCTTTAGGCCCGGGGATTTAGCTCAGTGGTTTCGCCGCCTGCTGCGCCCGAGTTCGATAAAAAAAAATCAAAACAAAACAAACAAACAAAAACTAACTATCTTTACATCTGGCCTTCTAATATTTTTATAGTATAGTAATACGTCATTGCCACTTTTTCATGCCATTAAATAATCTTCTACCAAAATAAATGATTCATAATTTGAATTTTAATTGATTTATTTAAAAAATATGGAATAGTACAGTTTCTAAAGCACATCAAATAGTTTATGTGCAAATGCTTTAGTACTCAAAAAGTATAAATGTACAGTTAGAAAACACTGAGTGCCAACATTCATTCCATTTATTTATTGCCTATTCTACATAAATCCATTGCTGTAGCCTTTACCTTAAGAGAATATAGAAAGAAAATCTAAAAGAAATCAAAATTTTAAAAATCCATTTGAGTACTATTCTGCTGAATTATTTATTTTTTAATTAAACACCATAATATTTACTAACAATTGCCCATGTGAGACTAAACCAAAAGAAAAAAATTTCAAACAACATTTCTTTTGTACTTACTGTACATAAGATTAATAGGTATAATAAAATATTTATTTCCCATTTTCTTTCACTCTACCTAAATCTTTCTTAATCATGTAATAAATATCTGCTTTTTGCAAACATTTTAATATGCTTATCTGGATTTTGTTTTAATTAGAAAATACTATATAGGATTTTCTTGTCCCATTTCTTGATAACCTCACAGTAATTTGTGTTCAAAAGTTGCAAACACAATGTTAATATTGGCTGGATTTTACAACAAAACTAACTGCATTATTAGCTACTCATGTCTAACATAAAGGAAGGATTTATTTTATTGCTCCTTGTCTAACATTTACGGAACACTTGTGAATAGCCTTAAGAAAACTTTGGAATCTAAATAATTTTGTAAATTTGAGGTAGAATCTTATGAGCAAACTAGTTTTTGCTTGTTTGTTCATTCTCTTTTTTTAGAGTACTAGAGATCAAATCCAGGGCCCTGGGCATGCCAGGCAAGTGCTTTACCAATAAGCCACATTTCCAATGCAAAAAAAGTTTTTATATAACTTTTATTTTTGATCTAAAGTTATTTTAGTTTAAATTAAGTGTCAGGTTAAATAAAATATTTTAAATTATTTCCACAAACACTGATATATATGTATATACTTCCCAAGAAATTGGTATGAAGCCTTTTAAACTTGGAAATATTCCTTCTATTTATGATTTTTCTTACTTCTAAAAATGAAATAAATCTTAGTGGCAGTGGCAAAATTAAGCTTCAATTACAAGTTTTTGCCTGGTCTTCTTTTTAGAAAATAAAACAATCTAGCTCATCTGAATGCAGTACAGTTGATATTGCTATCTCTGAAGAAGAAATGGTCAATGAACATGAAAAGTCAAAGCATCTTATAAATGGTAAGAAAAATGTTACTTTGATAATTTCATTGAAATTACACTAAAATTCTTAACCTAAATAAAACCATTGGATTCACTTTTAATCTTAATGTAGTTATTAATTTTGCACAGAGACACACAGGTGAACTTGTTTGGAGGGGGTATGTGTACGTATACCCACTGATATCCTAGTAGACATGTGTATTAAATGTCAAGAAATTGGGAAACAAATTGGAATGGACCTATTTCCTAGAGTGTCTAATGCAATAGTTGCAAAGTTTGATTCTGGAATAAGTATAACTCTCAACCTATTATATACTTACTCTCTCATCTGATTATTTCCTAATGAATGAAAAAAGTAAATATCTTGGAATTACACAATAGATTAAATTAGTATATGTGTGTAGGTACATGTGTAGATGTGTGCATGGATAATCTAAGAAAAGAGAACCTGCCTCCTCAACAAAAGCAGCATTCAATAATAAAATGATCTACATCATCCTATTTCATTGACATATCTTACAGAGATATTGACTATTAGAGTTAAAGAAGAAAAGAACTATAAGTATATAAGTAAGGTATGTTAAGTGGAATATGACTGATCATGTTCATTTCAAAATGTAGTTTCATGGTATAAATAAAATTGAGTAAATATACAATGTCCATATTTTTATATTAGTAATTATATAATTCTGTGCAGTAGAATACAGCATGATGTTTTAGACTTCATGAATTGGGGTTAATATTTTAAATATTCATTATGAAAGGCATCATATACCTTTCATAGGAAAGCAAATTATAACAGCAAGATATTTATATATTTTATATGAATGTCAAAAATGCAATATATGGCTCTAGGCAATTTATACACTAAATATATACCATACACCTCTCAATGAGTTGGTTTCCAAGTGAAATTAACAAATTAATGCAAGGTTAGACATTTTAAATTACTGTAAAGTCATCAAAATGATAACTGCTAAGTGCTCCATCCATTTCCTGTCTTCAAAATAAGCATCTGTACTCAGAAGTTTAAATTCTAGAACATGTATCATCAATGGCAAAGGAATAAATATATCTTATAGTTTCTGAGTGGAAGTGCATCATTTGACACTAATAAAAAACTAAAATGTTAGTTTTTGACTGTACAGTCTCCCCTATCCATTTCTTCATTTTCTGATGTTAATCACTCCCTTATCCAGCACGCATTTTCTTTCACTAACCCCTTGGGCCAGAAGGCAGAGTTCAACTACATAAATATCCCCTTGACCCACAAAGTATTTCAACATTCATGTCATTCCCTTAAATTTTCTCAGTCAAATTTCCCATTTCCATGCCACTTGAGGACTAGAATCAAAGCAACTCATTTGATTTAATATTATGCCTCTTAACATTTTCTAAGCATTTAGTTTTTAAATGGGAATGGCTGTGATGGCAAATGAATTATGGGAGAGGAATTTTCAAGGATTGTATCAAAATGAAACACTGGAGATTCATATGATTGTACCCCTTTTTTGTTTGTTTTGGTAAAAGTGAGGGATTAGTTCTGTTCTCAGACTGTTCTACACATTCAAGGGGTATCATTCCTGCCATTTTCAATTTAGTTCTTCCTATTACTGTCAAACTCACAAATGAAATTCTTCTCCTCAGGGACTACAGTCATAGTAGAGGTAAAAATCAAATGTTATAAATCTCAGACCACTTACAATATAATATATAAATAAACGAGTTCTGAAACATAACTTCTAAGTCGTATTTTTATAGTAAAAACCTGGAAATGTTGATTTTTTCATGACTTTTCTAGAGTTTTGTTTTTAATGTTTTCATTCTTGACAGATCGTAGGAGATCTTCACTTGGTCAAATAAGTAAAGAATACAAGAAAGGGAAAATTTGGCAGAATATAAGGAAAACCTGCTGTAAAATAGTGGAAAACAGTTGGTTCAAATGTTTCATTGGCCTTGTCACTCTGCTCAGCACTGGAGCTCTGGTAAGTGAGCCATCCGGGTGAGTAGTACTTTTACAGGGACAACTGTGTCATAACTGTTAATTCATAAAGTCACCTTGCCAGATTACTTTTCTCAGAATACTTAGTATAGCATCAGGTATCATATTCTATGGTTTTAGTTTCAGAAACTCTATGCTATACTTTCTTAGAATGTGTATACGCATCATTAAATATTAAATGTTATGTTAATATTAAATTTCATAATAAAGAAATATATAACCTTAAAATAAATGAATTATGATTGGAAATAGAATGAAATTAGATACCTGATTCTTCTGATTTTTATGAAGTTTTACTTATAAAACCATTTAATCATTTGGACATGCAAACTTCTATATTGTGTTGGTGCTTTGTTGTCTATTCAATAAGAAAAAGGAAGTGTTACATGTATTTTTTTACACAGATGTTTTAAGCAGGGTTATTCATGAAAAATACTGAAAACATCCTACATGTTATTCAATGAGTTAATAATTAAGTAAGTGGTAGTACATTCCTACTACAGAATAAAACTTAGCAATAATAAAGAATGAACGAGGGATAGACAAGATGACCTAAACAGATCTAAGTGCATTATGATGAATGAAAAAAGTACATCTCAGGCTATAGCTCATTGTTTTCTGCAAATGTTTGAAATGTTTTGCAATGTATAACTATTTTTAAAAAATTCCTTGTTATATAACTTTATTTAGAAAACACTCTCAAAATACCCAAATTTTAGATTCAAAGAATATATTAGTCATTGTCAGGATAATTGGCCAGTGTGGCAGGTTCAGATGTAAATTAACAAGAAACATTGGTCTTGTTATAATAAGAGAGTTTTAAAATTTGACTGTACAGTAATTACATAACTCTATACTTGGGATAAAATGACATGGAATCACACAAACAAAGATCAGGAAAATAATGTTAATTTTTTAAAAATAAAAGCTGAACAAAATCTCATATGATTTTAAGTGCTTATATTTATATATATATTTATCCCTAAACATAAAAATCTTAATTCTGTAGGAATATTATACAGATTTCTTCACATGGACTTATTGTATTCACAAGGTTATTCACTAAGAGACTTATTTTAACAACAAAGATTAAGTGAGATAAGTAAGAGTTCATGATAGGTGAGTAGTAAAATACACTAGATTACAATCACCCAATTGAATACTGCACAGCTATTTTGAAAAGATAAGAGTTAAGGGGCTGAGGATTTAGCTCAGTGGTTCCCCAAACTGCCTCGCAAGCGTGAGGTCCCGAGTTCGATCCCCCGGTACCAAAAAAAAAAAAAAAAAGATGAGTTGACTGCAGACTGATACTGCAATGCTTCCAGATATGGCAGAGTGAAAAAAAGAAACACCTAGCATGACTTACTGTGCATAGCGTCCTGCCTTTCACTTAGGCAAGCAAGAAAATTGTAATGGCTAGTGAATTTTTGTACATTTCATTAAAGAATATCAGAGAAGGATGCACCAGAACTAGTTATCGTGAGATACAGAACAGGGATGAAGTCATGGTTGGGAACTAGACTTTGCACGGTATTTGAAAATGTTTTAAAATAAGCATTCTCATACATACTGAAGACATCATGGGTGTCCAGCATGAATGATATTTAGAAAGCCAATGCACTTGTGTAACTACTACTTGGACTGGTAAGTAGAACATGTCCAGAAGTCCAGAACCATACTTTAAGCCCTCACAGGTACTTCCCCACTACACATGGGAAGCCAGTATTTGTACTTCAAATGCCACAGCTAAGTTTCACTCATGTTTTATTTGCTATTTCTTCCTCCTCCCATTTTGTGTAGCATCCTACTTCCTCAGGATGGTCAAGGTTAATTATCTTTGCTAGTTCTTTTCTTACCAGTGTACTGGCATATGAAGTTGAAAACTGATCAGATGATATCTTGATTTTAATTTTAGTGAAAAATATGCTGTGTCTACTAATATACTCTTCTGGGTGCCTCTGAATTCATATTTCCAGGAGCTTAGAGAATGAGAAGCACAAATACCCAAAATCAGAATTGTAATGAGCTTCATGCAGACTCTTTCTCTGTCATAGATTCTTCCAGAAGCATGCTATCTTTATATGACTCAAATGAAAAGATGACTGTTTTAGAACATTTTCTTGCATCAGGCCTTACAGAAAAATAACAGTCCTCGGCATCAGTGGATGAATAGGCCAGATTAGTATTCTCAAGTTTGAAATTTTGTCTTCAAACCTGAAGAAGCTCACAAAGTATTGTCTTCTTTCTTTCCTACTTTATTTTCTTCCTTGTTTCTCTCCTTCATTTCTTTCTTTTCGTTCCTTCCTTCTTTCCTTTCTCTCTTTCTTTCTTTCTTTCTTTCTTTTGGGTATGAAGTTCATTATCTAGAAACCATCTAGAAAACCTATTTCTTGTTCATAAAGTCTGATTCATTCCTGTTTCACTGATGCATGACTTCATGGCAACATAGTTGGCTATTTATCCAGCTCTCTATCCCCTTTGGTGCAGCCTGTGGTAGACTGAATAACAGTTTCTAAATATGTCCATATCATATCCACCAGAACTTGCAAATATTTTGCAAATACTTGTATGGCAAAAGGTTCTTTGCAGATGTGGTTAAGTTAAAGATTTTGAGGTGGGGAGATTTTCTGGGTTATTCAGATAGACCTGTTCTAATCATAATAGTTCTTGCAAAATATATGCAACAGTCAAAATTGAAAGTAAAGGTAATAAGAGCATATATGCAGAGATTGGATTGAGGTGTCTTGAGGGGAAGGAAGATAATACAAGCCAAGGAATACTGACAGCCAGTAAAAACTGAGAAAGAAATGGATTCTCTCTTCAGACACACACACACACACTCACTCACACACACAATAAGCTCTCCTACCACTTTGACTTTAGCCCCAAACAACTGACTTCTGGTTTCTGATCTTACGATTTGTAAGAGTATGTATTTGTGTCATTCTCAGACACTAAATTTGGGGTAATCTGTTGCAGCAGCAATAGGAGAGTACTACACAGACCCCTTAGGATTCACTTCTACACATAACCTTGCTTCCTTCCAGTACACATTGCTACATTCCACATAGGTCCCTGGTGCTCTACCAAACTAACTGCTCCCAAGGTATTAATTTCTGTACTTCTGTGGCTACCTTACAGAGAGAGTTGACTGGTTATACTATTGGTAACCAGGAAGAGCGATGGAAGTAGTTCCTGAAGAGGTGTTTAGGACATCTTCCTAATTGAAGGCTTCTACATGGTTCTCAATCCACACCAGATTCCATTTGATCTTCCAGAGAGCAGCACCACAGGGTTCCACTCTGCCTGTATACCAGTCATTGAGGGGGTTCCCTTTAGGAATGGAAATCTTGCCTTATGCATGAAATGTGTTTTTTTTTTCTGACCAGAGGCAATTCTACAGAGCAAGTTTAGATTGTGTGTTATTAGGCAACACTCATAGTCATTGTGGAATAGGTAGAATTTGGTAGTTATTAGGAGTTGACTGCAATATTTGATATGTTCTTGAAAAGTTTGTGTCTTTTTATTTGTGGTGTATAATTATGTCATTTGTTGTTTCTATTGGGGCCATCTGGTCTATGTTTAGTGATACAGTAAAAGTTAAAAAACATTTTAAACTGTCATGTCATTTGCTGTTTTAACAAAGTGTAAAATTATCCCACTATGATTTAATTTTCTAAATCTCCTTTTGGCTCCGTTAATTTGGGGAATATTTTGATGACTTGTTACTTTGTGCATGCAGATTTGTACTAGTAATATAACTCCTTTATGACACGGCTCTCTATCTCTATATATACGTTTTGTCTAATTGGAAACAGAATATAATTCCTTTCTAGGTCAAAGAGTTTTTAGAAATTTCATGTATGCTTACCCTTACATTTTTTACCAATAGGCTTTTGAAGATATATATATTGACCAGCGGAAGACCATTAAAATCTTACTAGAATATGCTGACATGATCTTCACTTACATCTTCATTCTGGAAATGCTTCTGAAGTGGATGGCATATGGGTTTAAAGCCTATTTCTCTAATGCCTGGTATAGGCTGGACTTCATGGTTGTTATTGTACGTATTCTTAAAGAAAAAGTCTAAAGGCTAATTGATTTATTCTTAATCTTTCACTTACTTATGGCTCCCTTCCCCCTCTCCATATGTATTTTATCCATTCTACGTTTGTCTTATTCTAAATTTTTTTAAGTTTAGCTCTATACCCTTGAATTACTGCAAAGTCATCTGTGAAAACACTGCTAACACAGTAGGTTTGTTTCACAATATCCTGAAAATATCTGCACCCTAAAATCTTAACCTCTATTGGATTGAATTTTAACTAAAACATTTACAATTAGGTAATTTATCCTAACCATTACTAATGTCCAGTTTATTGAAGTTTCTCATTTCTCATTTCCACAAAACAACAAGAGTGACCAATGCAAAATGGATGGCAGCTTTTCCCCTTCTCTCCTTGGAACCCTCTAATAATTACCCCATCTCACTCAGAGCAAAGGCTGCAGTCTTCTCAACTGGACAGCTGCAAACCTCCACATCATCTAACCTTATCTCCTATTCCTCTCCATTCCCCCTGCCACCCCACCCCTGTGTATATACTGATTCACCAGCACTGACCTTGAAGCACCTCAAACAAGCCAAAGGTACTTTCATTTTAGTGCCTTTGTACTTAATCTTCCTTCTGCCTGGAAGTTTGCTGGTATTTATTTCCTAGTTGAAGTGAATCCTGGGAACTTTATCTCAATGCCTTATTTAAAACTGCAACCTTGTGCTTGCTGCGGCAGCACATATACTAAAACTGCAGCTTCTTTAATACTCCTTTCCCTTCCTCTTTTTTTTTCTTCATATTGATAACTATTATTAATGTTATATAATTTATTTTGACTATTGTTTGTCTTCTTCCACTAAAGGATAAGTTCTGTTAGGGCAGAATTTTTTCTCAGTTTTTTTCTCTCTTTTATCTCCCGTGCCTTGATGATTTTTGTTGAATGAAAAAATGGCTCCTTATTTTATAAATAATGATGATAGCCCCTCAGTCTATAATTAATTGCTTTGAAATAGTGACCTCGTCTTCTAAATTAATTCTTGAAAATTCCCCTCTACTACAGTCAAACCTCACTGTCCCCAAAACTCACCGTCTTGTTTCCTAGCCATTGTCCATTTGGGTCCACATCAGTCAATAGCTCTATAAATGATTCCCACATTTCAAAGCCTACTTCAAGACCAGTATAAAATAAAATATGAAAAATGTTCACATTTGTTGAGCTAAAAATATAGAAAATATGAAGTTACAACAAAAATTAATCATGGCTCTAATACCTTGTACAATCTCAATTAACACTTATAAATCTTTAATCATTGTATGCATGAGTATCTATTTTAAAAATCATTTTAGTATATGATTATACTTTTTAAATTTGTTCTTTTGATTTATTAATATACATATCTTTCTTGATGCCTTACCTCTGACCTCCTATTTTGTATTTTGTCCTTACAATAGTTATATATAAATGTATATCTGAATATATTTCAAAACAAGTTTTAATGAATACATTGTATACCATTACTGTATTGTAAATACTCATGTCTTTTTAAATCCAATTTCAGACTTTAAAAGGATATAAATATTAATCCAATCTAAAACTAGATGTTCATCTCAATAACATATGTTCTTTATCATTTTAAAATACTACTGTTTCTTCTTTCTAAGTGATTTTAATACAAAATGATTTATTAAGACATTTTGAGATATGTATCAAAATATATTGCTAGCCTTGACTATATTTTTATAATAAATGCAAACTTTATTTTATATATTATTTCCATTAAGATTATCATATTAACTCTTTTTAAAAAATATATGTACAGGTGTTTTGTCTTAGCCTGATAGGTAAAACTCAAGAAGATCTAAAACCACTTGCTTCCATTAAATTCCTTCGGGCACTCAGAGTTCTATCACAGTTTGAAAGAATGAAGGTAAGACAAAGTTTCTAAACTAATCCATGGATTTTTTTGGAATTACTAAATTTTCATATACTAGAAGCTTTGCTGTCTTCACATTTCTACCTTCAACAATATTTGTACAACAAAAACCTTATATTCTTCATAAAAGTAGATGGGAATGGATATGTTAGGCTTTTTAACATTTTAGGTCTCATTGCTCAAAAGATATGAAAACTATAAAGATAAGCAAAGGGAAAATAATAAGAAAGAGAATATAATGTGAAAAATAGTACCTTTCTAACCCATATTGATAGAATGAAGTCTTCCTTTAAAACGATAACTGTCAGAAAATAAACCTTTCATCAGGTAAGCAACTATTTAAATTTATAAGAATATTTTACACAGTAAGTAGATATTTACTGGATGAAAACAATGTTTGAGTTAAAATAAATTTACTTTTTCTGAAGTCAAGCATCACACATTGTGTATTCTAATCTTCTTTCCATCACTCTCACTATAGCTTTTTCTGCCCAAGGTGGAGAAAGGTAATACTTCTAGTCACACCAAATACCCACTGTTTAAACTTTTGAATCTATAATGGAAATGCCATATGGCTCAATAGAAAAAATAGTCTAAGATCAGCACAGTAGTATAAATACTGTATGTAGATGTACACTGATCAGTTATATGCAGAAATGGAAGAAAAAGTCTAATTTTACCTTTTTTCGTACTCATCCATATTTTATAGTTTTGTTTACATAGATTATTTTACATAATTCTTTTGGCAGGTATCATCTAATATCACATAGTCAATGTTATGGAAGGACTGAGTAAAGAAATTATTTCTCTTTAAAAATTTAATGTCTCTGTAGTTTATACATTGTATGCTACATTTAAGCTGCCATTTATTAATAAGCCATAACTTTTAAATTCTATTTGGTAAAATTTTTTTAATCTCAAAATTTGACTGATTCATATAAATTCAAACTATAAGTTGCTTAGAATATGTATTTTAATGAAATATTCCAAATTATAATAGTGCCACATTTAAATCATATGTGCATACATATATGCTTATATAAGAACATGTACACATAGGTAAATTAATTGTATATATTTTTAAATATACTATGCTAAGTATACATGCACTTATACTGAGTATATAGTTGATTTTTTGTAGTTCATGTGACTTTGCATTTGATTCATTATAAAAGAATTTAAGCCTGATTAATCTATTTCCCAGATTCATTTGATTTGCTGGATTTGAGAGAGAAATATTTTTATTATGGTGTAAATACATCAAGACTCCACTATTATAAACCTAGAGAACAAAAATTTAAGGGAGTGATTATAATTTATACTATAACTTCTGAAACATATTTTAACACATCATCTAAAAACTGGCAACATTCAAGAGTGCTTTTTAAACAAAATAAGTTGGAAAACTAGCTGAAAAAGAGAAAGTTGCTGACAAGATCTCTAAGACTAGGGTTAAGATGATGAAACAGCTTAATTTCTAGGAAAAATACAGTTTAATGATAGGAAAACTTCATAGAATAGCCTATGACTAGAAACTACAGAAAGCCTTTTGGCTCAAAACACACACACACACACACACACACACAATCTGAGTGCAGCTAAATAAACTATTGTAACAAATATTATAAGATGATTCTAAATTTTTTCTCTCATAAGTTTTGATATACAGGTGAAGAGAGTGTGAAGTACCCCAAGTTGTCCCCATGTTAGAGAGAAGCTTCCCTCCATAACATTTGGTGTGTTATGTGCATTAGAAAGACAATGAGATACTGAGCCATGAGCTCAAGGTCAGCAAAACAGTAGACAAGGTCAAGTCATAGTCTAGTCCATGCCAGAAATCTCATCTCAACCTCTGAAAATTCCATGGTTAAATTGTTCTTGCAGATGCATCACTAAGCTACACATTTACAAAACCCATGTTTCATACACTTAATAAATCTTAGGTGCTCTTTACTGCAAAAATATTTGTGTCAACCATCCCCACTTCTGTGTTATCACACAGACTTTTCTGATGGACTTGGTGGCTGGTTTTTTTTTTTTTAGTTCTTTTATTGGTACATTTTAGGTATACAATTCATTTACATTTATCATTGGGTGTTTGTACCCATACATGAGGTATCTTGGTTCTTATTTTTTCTCATTACCTGTGCACCCTTCACCCCTCCACCCTTCCCTATTTACATAGACATCATTTCCATTTTTTTTCTTTTCTCATAGTTTTTCCTTTCCCTCCTTTCCTTTCCCCTTCCCCTCCCTTCACCCCTTCATCTTTGGACAGTTTTTCCTATTTCAAATTATCAGTTATTCATTTTAATCATTTTAACCCTTGTTTACACTATCAGTTTCTCACACTAGAGAAACTATTCGGTATTTACACATGTGTGTCCTATTTATTTCATTCAAGAGTATGGCCTTGATATGCATCCATTCAGCTATAAATGACTCTAGTTTTTCATTCTTTATGGCTGAGTAGTACTCCATTTTATGAAAAAAACCACATTTTCTTTATCCAGTTTCCAGTTAATGGGCATTTGGGCTTCTTCCAATCTTTAGCTATTACAAACTGTGCCACTATGAACATGGGTGCACATATATCACGGTGGTATGATTCTTTTAATTCTTTTGGGAAGATACCCAGCAGGGGAATAGCTGGGTCAAGTGGGACCTGTAGTGGTTGCACCGGTCTGCACTCCCATGGTGGCTGTTTTTTACAGCAGAAGCATCAATGGGCCTCTCAAAGCATATAAATTATCAACAAAGAACCTCTGCCCTCATTTTGCAACTATAACAAAGTGGTTGAAAGAACAATGAAAAATATTCACTTAGGGACGGAAAATTATGACATATAAACAAGAAAGTACAGGCAAAATATTATTTAGTAATGGTTGAGGAAAAAGTTAGAAAGGTAAAAAAAGGAGAATAAATGATGCCTCAGAAAAGTGGAAATAAAATGCATAAACACTATGACAAGGAAATGGCAGGTATTGAAAATATTCTATTGGATAGACCAACTAGTTTCTTTTGCCATAACAGCTTTAGTGGAGTAATGAGTAAAATACCAAAATGATAAAGGGAGTTAAAGAAATGACTACAGGCTATTGCTGGTAGTCAAGTTTAGGTGGTAGATTCAGCTTCCAAATCCCTCATTCTGGAATTACTTCTTAGTGGTAAAAAAAAAAAAGGCCCATCGCTCATTGTGGAGGTATGAAACTTTGCATATTACAACTGATCTTTCAGTCTCCTCCCTGAAGCAGTCTCCTCCCATCACTTTTTTTATGGTACAATCTCTTGATCTTTCATTTTTCATATCACTCTTTCCTTTTCTTCTTTGAATGTTTATCCTCCCTAAGGTTGGAGTCAACGCAGTTGTTGTCCCACCTCTTCTTATTTTACATCTTTTCCAGATCATGTCACACACACACTCACACACACACACACACACACACACAATCTTCAACATTTCTGGCATAATACAGAAACTCAGTAAACAAATATCAAATCAGTAAATTAAAATTTTGTTCCAGTATTTATATTGATGAGCTTTGTTGCTTTTTAAATGATTTCTAGTTCAAAGATTTTGAGAGTATCTGGATTTTAATGTGTGCTTTTATTGCTAAAAATTGAATTGCTGTTTAGATTATTCCACTACCGGCATGTGGGCTATTCAGTCTTTAGATACCCCTGCTTCATTTTTCAATATAACATTATATCAAGTAGCATTTTCAATTTGGTCAGATATTAAAATAGTTTCACATTTCTTATCTAAAGTTTGCATATTCACTTTTTTTGTATGCTAGGTGGTTGTGAGAGCTTTGATAAAAACAACTCTACCCACTTGGAATGTGTTTCTGGTCTGCTTTATGATCTGGCTGAGTTTTAGTATCATGGGAGTAGAGTTATTTGCCGGCAAGTTCTATGCATGCCTTGATCAACCAAATGGAGAAAGGTTTTCTGTGTCTGAAGTATGGAATATAACTCAATGTGAAAGGCTTATGTATAATGAATCCTTGTCATGGAAGAATGCAAAAATGAACTTTGACAACGTTGGAAATGGTTTCCTTTCTCTGCTTCAAGTAGTAAGTACATTTTCTTGAAGTTTTTTTTTTTTAGGTCAATTATATATTAATTCATAATGTAGGCTGAACATAAAGAACCAAGTATAGATGATTCAAAAATTTGATTATCGCTTCTCAGCCTTTTGGCTAAGATCAAGTGTAAAAATTTGATTATAACATATTTTAGCAATTAGTAATTAATAGATAGTAGTTGTTGCACATACTATACTAGGCTTCTCTGGAGAGACTTACATGAAACAGTCCCCATCCTGCGGAGGTGAAGGCAGCACTACCAGAGGAAATAATAAGTGCTAGCCAAAGCTGCTTCCAACACTACTGTTCAGGAAGTTGGTCCAAACAGGGTTACTACTCTTTATTAATTTGATGCTTTGAGGAATGTCTACTCAGCGACACAGTATCTAAGATATGAAGACATGGGCCATTCTCCTCTTATTGAGCCAACAGAAAAGCACATATAAATGGTTACAAATAACTGACACTTGAAAGCATGTACTTATTTACCATTTATCTATTTTCTTCTTTCATTCTTTTTCTATTTAACTATTTTTAAATATTGTGTTATTAATTATAAATAAAATAAGTAAAATTATTAACAGTATAACAGAAACATGTTAAATACCTCAATTATGTAGTATATTGAATTTTGCAAGCCTTACTATCAAATTTTTTAAGTATTAAAAACAAACTGAATTTTCTTTTTTGTCACAAAAGTAGGTTTTCACAAAATTAAACGTCTTTTTTTTATAGGCAACATTTAATGGATGGATCGATATTATGTACTCAGCAGTTGACTCTGTTGGTGTAAGTACAATATAGTTTAAAATGCACTGTTAAAGCCCAAGCAATTCAAACACACAACACATGTGGTATTTGTAGAAATTAAATACATTTCAGAGTGAGTATTTCATAGGCAATGAAATCTTTGCAGGAAGATATACAATGATTGATACCCAGTAAACACATGTGAAGGATTATCTTTCTTTTTTTTTTTTTTTGGTACTGGGGATCGAACCTGGGACCTTGCACTTGTAAGGCAGGCACTGGAACCACTAAACTAAATCCCCGGCAGGATTATCATTTTTATAACAAGAAGTTAACCGATGAAATCAATTTTAAAATAAAAATAGAAGTAATATTCTTTCACCAAAAACAGAGACAAAAACATTAATTTAAGTAGCACTGTTTGGTTTTCTTTTAATCTTTCTTTCTTAAAAAAAAATCATATATTAGTCTTATATTAATTACTGCACATTAGCTACACAGAAGAATAGATTTCTTTGGGTACATTCAGACTTACATATCACATACTTTGATAATCAGATCTTTTTGTCATAAAATGATTTATAATATAAATCTTATGTTTTAAAAAGTTGTAATCAATGATTATTTTAAAATTCATTTTTAGGTAGAAATGCAGCCTAATTTTGAAAACAACCTCTACATGCATTTTTACTTTATTGCTTTTGTTATCTTTGGATTATTTCTCCCTCTGAGTATGCTGATTGCTGTTATTATTACTAACTTCAACAAGCATAAAATAAAGATAAGTATAAATATCCTTTGTTTGTTCATAAATGCCTGAAAAAAAATCTCACACATTTTTACAAATGCCCTCTTTCAAGTAATTGGTTTAGAATTTACCTCAATGGCATTTTTTGGTGGTGTGTATCGAACACAATAATTGTTGCTGTTCTTCCGTATTGTCAAGTACTGCTAAAGTATTCATTCTCATATTGCTTTCAATGTCTAAAATATGCACAGTGAAGTTTGAACATTAATACATACTTGTGTTTCTATATGTATATTTTATATTTATAAATTTATTTATAAATATAATATACATTTTATCTATATTTATAAATATATAAATATTTATTTTATAAATAATTATTTATAAATATTTTATAAATAATGATATGAAAAGAAATGAATAGTATTTTTGTATATCTACACAAATATGTGAAGACTGGAAGAAGGATAATACTCTTTTACTCTGATACATTAGAAGCCTTCAGAGTCGTAAGCAGCAGAAACATATGTCTACATTAGAGTAGCACTTTCTGCTTGAAGTAGAGTCATAAATTCTAGCTGGACCTAAATAGGAGTGCTTAAACTCAATGTTATGGAACGTAGAGACACTTAGCCACAATTTGGTACCATTTCTGTGTATTGGTGCCATTTGTGCACAATTGTAACTCCTTGGGCTTCCACAAATGCAAAGGGCTCCAACGATATCCACCACTTTTATGTCTTATGAAGGGACCGGCTCTCTATGAGGTTTAGGAATGCCTTCCCCCAAATCAAAAGAAATAGTAACTGTGAAATTCCACCTCCAACATATCATTAAATGTTATTCACGTGCAAAAAAATATAGCATAATACAGTAGTCTGCTAATGAGGTGGGAGAGGGCGAAATGATTAGATGTGGTTTTGATCTAATTCTTCAGCTTCCTGAGCAGGTCAGCCCAGTGTGGTGACATCCTAGGTTTACTTCTGGGCTTCTCATTGGTTATCCCTGTCAGTTTTAAGTGAATGGATTCTAACTTAGGCATCAACAATTCCTAATTTCTAGCTTAACATGTCATTATTACTTTATATTTTTTGTACAAGATACTAAAATTAGCATTAGAATGACAAAAATGAATGAGCCCTAGAAGGTGCAAACTGAAGGTACTTTTGGAATAATAAAAATATCTTCTTACAGGGTTTATCAAATAAAGCAATATATGAACATGTAAAAAATAAATACTTTCCTGAATAGGGTGGTACATTCTGTAATCCCAATAATCTGGGAGCCTGAAGTAGGAGAATTGCAAGCTTGATCCCAGCCTGGGGAAATGATTTAGCAAGACCCTGTCTTGAAATAAAGTTTTATAAAGGGCTGGGAATGTAGGTCAGTGCAAAGGCCCTTGGTTCAAACCCTAATGCTGCAAAAACAAACCAAAAATTGAGCAATTCTATTTGTTCCTGTTTATTAACAGGTACAAATAAATTTAACCTTTGTCTATTGAGTTCAGTTCTTCTCAGTTAATTTTTTCAGATATCCCCCATTGTATGTTTGTCTTCTGTAAGAAAAGGAAAGACATAATAGACTAAATATTATAAATAGGGGTGACTGCCTAGAGGAAAGTACATCAAAAGATTGTTGAACAGCACTCATTACTGATTAGTATTCCATGTCTGTTTTATACGCATTTTTGTCCAGAACATGAGTCATGGTCACACATGATTTAGACCATTGCAGTTAAACCTTCTGAAAAGAATTATATTAATAACTGTCAACTTTTCTTAAGTGCATATTAATAAAAAGGAAAGTTTGGATTAAAAGTGATTTTAATGTCTTTTTCTTTCATTTGTATACCAGGGAGTCTCCAATATCTTTATAACTGCAAAACAGAAGAAACAATATCATGGACTAAAGAGGCTGATGTATGAAGATTCTCAAAAACAAATACCTCGTCCAATAGTAAGAAAATGTGTAGATGTTTTTTGAAGCTTTAATAAGTTCTTTTACTTTATTTTACAAATAAAATGTATTTTAAAATATCTTCAGTGCTTTTGACATTTATAAAATATGTTCCTCCACAAAGATTTTAATGGTCATTTTTTGCTCTAACATTGTTTTATGTTACAATTATTAACATACTTTAATTATATAAAATTGTAATATTTCCACACATGCATATGTTTTGTATTTGCCATGTCCATCCACCCTTGTTTTTACTATATGGGTTTACTTGGTAAAAACTTACACCCTCACGTATGTTTATTTTAGGGAAAGTTATAGACTCTGATGACTATATGTATGAATGTACGTCTTGTTATTAATGGTGCCACACTTGTTTTCTTTACCCATAGAACATGTTCCAAGGCTTCATTTTTGACTTGGTAACAAACCGAGTTTTTAATGCCATCATCATGGTTCTTATCTGTCTCCAAGCAATGATCATGATGATAGAAAGTGATGACCAGAGTCTACAAATGGATCTTGCTCTCTACTGGATTAACGCAACATTTGTTATGCTATATACTGTAGAATGTATACTGAAGCTCATCTCCTTCCACTGTTACTATTTCACCATTGTATGGAACATTTTGGATTTTATGGTGGTCATTTTCTCCATCACAGGTAAGATTTTGTTCAGTCCAATTTTCATTTATATTCATATTAATTCAGCCAAAGTTATTAATATCACTTCAGATATAGTCTCTTAGCTAAACAGGTAGAGACCTTTTTCATTTCAATCAGGAATGCTTCACATTTTTTTCATTCACACATGTGCATAAGGATAGGAATGCTAAAAATATATATTTCTTAAACTAATAGAATATACTTTATGTCACAAACCACAAGATAAATGCTTAATTACCCTTCAATATATAATGTAAATTCATTTCTAGGATAACAGTAGAAGGATCTTTATATCTTAGAATGATTTAACCTTTGAAACTCACTATTCCTTCCCTCTAATTGTCCAAAGCTATATAAAACAACACTGGAGTTTTAGGTTGTAATTCATTTGTCCCTAGTTTTCTCTTACTTGGGAGAGCTCACTCTTTTATTTAAGAAATATATTTAATTATTTTCTTTGTGCACAGATGTTATACTATATGGAAGGAATACAGTAGTTACTTGGGTGTGGTGGTACATACCGGTAATCCCAGTGCTCTGGAGGCCAAGGCAGGAGGATCATAAGTTTAAACCAAGCTTGTGCAACTTAGAGAGACCCTGTTTCAAAATAAAAAATCAAAAAGGCCCAAGTTCAACCCCCGGTACCAAAAATCAATCAATCAATCAATCAGTCAATCAATCAAAAAGGGACAGGATATATTTCAATACAAAGGTCCTGGGTTCAATCCCAAGTATGCTTCCTAACAATAAACAAAACAAAACAAAAATACCAGTGGTAAACAAGATAGGGATAATTCCTGCATATACATAGTTTAAATCTATTAAAGGACACAAATAATTAGAGTATATTTTAATGCTGTGTTGTTAGAGTTATGCTAAAGGAAGTACAGGGTGCTACAGCAGCATAACAGGCAGCGGCATCCACTCAACTAGTAGACATCAGAGCAAATTTTGTGTAAGAAGAAAAATTTAAACAAAGACCTATTGTATAAGGAGGTAGCCAAGCAAAGAATTTGGATCAAAGTGTTTCTGAAGACAGGAGTTTCTTTATTGTCTGCTTCCCCATAACACATATCTAGTTGCAAGGTTTGTTTTCATGGGGACAATATTTAAGAGATAATTATGTCGGGCACTATTCTATGATTGAGCAGTGGGAAAGGTAGATTATCTGTCTAGTTGTGTTTCTAGAAAATTCATTCATTCAGTGGATAAGTGAAGTAATGCAACCATCTATTGAAAAGTTTATGAAGCTTGATTGTGAAGAAAATACCAACAGGAAGGGGCTGAGAGAAAGAAAACAGGAGTTTCAAAACTAAAGAGCCCTATGAGATTGAAGTAGGAGTTCCTTATTCAGAAAAATTTTAAGGAGAAAATATAGACAGAAAGAAAGCTATTTGAATTTGAGATTTTATAGATCAGGTATTGTGTCAATAATAGGGTCATAGATGTGGTTGGCAAATGTGAAACGGTGAAGATTATGAAGGTTGAGAATGTCAGGAATAAAGAAGTTGGACTTTGGATGGATTATTGATGGTAGATGCTGAGGTAAAACAAGAAGAAAACTGCTGAAGTCTTCGACGTGTATAAATGAAGTGGAATGAGTAGATCCTAGAGCCAAGGAATGGTAGGAAATGGAATAGTTGAATGACATGATTCATAAAGTGCCAGAAATTTATTTATTTTTGTTCATTAAAGTGGTGCAAATAAGAAGTATCTGGAATTCTCATTGGAAAGAAAAAAAAAAAACTTATTCATCTTTCTTCCTTGAGAAACACGGAGTTGGGGAGACTAAGCTGCCTGTGCTTGAAATTGTCACATTGGGGCATAATGTCATCATTCGGCTTCAGATAAGAAGGGGAGTTTAAAAGTCAAGTGGTGAGAATATTGGGAGTTTGTTTACATTAAGTGAGAATATTTCCTGCACAACTGAGGAGTTTTGAAGATATAGATGAAATGAAAATTTGAGTCGGCATGGAAAATTCACTAGAGCACTCTAAAGAAGGTGGATGTGGAAAAAACCCACAAAGAATGTCATCTTAGGCAGTGACCAAGTTTGACAGAAATATGTGGCATGACACTTCCTGTCAGCAAACATGCCCTCTCCTTAGAAGGTCCGTGGAATTTTCCCATCCTCCACCTTTTCAACCCAAAGTGAACCATCCCTAGGTTCTAAGGAAAATCTCACTTCCTTCATATTTAAAGCTCCTGAGAAAGAAATGCCACTTAGGAAACAAATGAATTAAAGCACAAATTATGAGTCACTGAATGCCAAACATTTTTGTAATTACATTTAACAATTCAGTTTTTCTACCTTGCTTTGTAATGTTTTTAACTAGCCATCACTAGTTACTAGATTATAAAGTCTTTGAGGCAGAAATCATGTTATTCATGTTGGCATATTTTCATGATGCCTTTATAAGGCACTCAATATAAGTTTGAATTCTTGTTGATTTTTTTTTGTAGGTTTTTTTTTTTCCGGTACCTGAGATTGAAGTCAGGACCTTTCGCTTGCCAGGCAGGCACTAAGCCACTGGAATTCCTGATCCAACAGGAATCAGAAAACAAACAAACTTATGACTATGGTCCTATATTATACTTTCAAGTCATCTGTAATTCCTGAAGTACTTGATCTGCAATATTCCCAAGATACAGTACAGAAGAAATTCTTTCTAAATTTTGCTAGATACCTGACATTGATACAATTGGTATTTCACTAACCTAAACATCCAATAAACTGTTAAATAGGAGGTATTAATAGAAATTAATAGGGCTGGGGATTTAGCTCAGGGGTTCCGCTGCCTTCCTCGCAAGGGCAAAGTCCTGAGTTCGATCCCCAGTACCAAAAAAAAATTAATAAAATCTATAAACAACCACTTAAGTATAAAATAACACATTCCTCTAAATACCATTGCACATGGATAATTTTCTTGACTCTTTTCTCTTTACCCAGGACTATTTCTGCCTATGACAGTGGGACACTACTTGGTTCCCCCTTCACTTGTGCAACTGATACTTCTCTCTCGCATCATCCACATCCTGCGTCTTGGGAAAGGACCAAAGGTGTTCCATGATCTGATGGTCCCTTTGATGCTGTCTCTCCCAGCCCTGTTGAACATCAGTCTTCTAATCTTCCTAGTCATGTTTATCTATGCCATTTTTGGAATGTACAACTTTGCCTATGTTAAAAAAGAAGCTGGAATTAATGACGTGTCCAATTTTGAAACATTTGGCAGCAGTATGATTTGTCTTTTTCAAGTTACAATATTTGCAGGTTGGGATGGAATGCTTAATGCAATTTTCAACAGTAAATGGTCTGACTGTGATCCTGATAAAATTAACCCTGGGACTCAGGTTAGAGGAGATTGTGGTAACCCTTCTGTTGGGATTTTCTATTTTGTCAGTTACATTTTCATAATATGGCTGATCATTGTTAATATGTATATCGTTATGGTCAAGGAAGTTTTAAATATTGTTTCTAAGAAAAAAACTAGGACCTTGAGTGAAGATGATTTTAGGAAATTCTTTCAGGTATGGAAGAGATTTGATCCTGATAGGACCCAGTACATAGATTCCAGCCAGCTTTCAGATTTCGCAGCTGCTCTTGATCCTCCTCTTTTCTTGGCAAAACCAAACAAGGGACAGCTTGTGGCTATGGATCTTCCCATGGCTGTTGGTGACAGAATTCATTGCCTTGATATCTTACTTGCTTTCACAAAAAGAGTTGTGGGAAAAGATGCAGGGATGGAGAAAATCCTTTCAGAGATAGAATCAGCGTTTGCATTAGCCAACCCTTTTAAAATCACATATGAACCAATCACAACTACTTTGAAACGAAAACAAGAGGCAATTTCAGCAACCATCATTCAACGTGCTTATAAAAATTACCGCTCACGGCAAAATGACAAAAATACATCAGATATTTCTACATTGGATGGTGATCAAGATGCCCAAGGTACTAAAGAAGGTGTCTGTCTTGACAAAACTAAGGAAAAGTCATCTATTCAAAATCAGATCTAATCCCAGTTATCACCTTTCTATTTTCTTTATGGATCTCCAGAGTTTTAAAAGCTTAAGTAACAAAACAACAATCAGAGGAAGAGTACAGATATGATCAGTTGCTTACAACCAATGAAAATTAAGCTTGTGGTCACAAATCTCCATACCAAACTCATGTTTTTAACCTTATATTCAGCCCAACTAATCTATTGGGAAAGATGATGAATTAATATTGCTGCAGTTTGTTAAAGTAGGTTGAATTTGCCATATGGCAATCTAATACTTTTCTATCTGCCTTATTTGATGTAAGCCTCTTCTCAAGGATTGGGGGAAATGGTAGTAAAGATTATGACCAGAAGAGGTTTCTTCATATATTTTATGTAAAATGTAATAGGTTTCAAATCAACACTACCAGGGCTCAGTTGCAAATGAAGATTTTCTTAATGTGAGATGGTGGTTAAGAAATAGTGAAAGGCTATAGGTCACTAAATCATGAGCTTGCCTAAAGGAATACCAACTGGGGGAAGGGAGAGGGTAGTTCTTTAGAAAGTGCCTTTGAGATCAATCACAGAGACTTTCGGGCTGATTAAAAACTGTTTGAAAAAGATCAAAGCCCTATTTTAAAATTTTGTTCCTGTTTTCTTTCTTTCTTTCTTTCTTTTCTTTCTCTTTCTCTCTCTTTCTTCCTTTCTTTCTTCCTTTCTTTTTCTTTCTTCTTTTTTTCTCCACCTCCCCTTCCTTCCCTCCTTCCTTCCCTCATCCTCTGTTCCTTCCTCCTTCCTTCCTTTCTTCCTTCTTTCTTTCCTTCCTTCCTTCTCCCATCCTCTCTTTCCTTCTCCTCCCTCATCTTTCCTTCTCCTCTTCTTCCTCCTCCTCTTCCTTTTCCTCCTGCTCTCCCTCCTCTTTTGTCTATTTTTTTTTCCTGGTGGTGGAAATTAGTGTTTCATTGTTCATGGGCTCCTGGGTTCTTATCTCTTTGGCTAGTTCTACATATGCTCTAAATCTACAACATGATGGATGTAGATTCATACAATAGGAAATATAGGAAATATAAATAAAACTACAGCTATGGCCTACACTTTCCTTATTATCTTCTCATTTACACACTTAAAAATGTATTCATTTACTAAAATTACATAGTAAATAATATGTTAATAGATCTAAGCTTTACCTCATTATAAAATTCATATATTTTTACCATTTATTTATAATATAACATTGAGTATATAAACTATGACAAGTGCATGTTAAAATGAATTAGCAGAATTGACAGCTACTAGTATATCTAAGGATTTTCACAGTATCTTGACCTTTAATTGGGAACCTGTAGCCACTTCAAAGTACTTTCCATTGTACTTTGTGTTTCTTAGAATTTAGAGGCAAAAATGAACATTCAAACTATAAAGACTGAATTAGGAGATAAAAGTGTAAGTTCTTATTTTATTTTATTTTATTATTATTTTTTGGTACTGGAGATTGAACTCAGGTCCTTGTGCTTGCACAGCAGACAGCAAAACCACTGAGCTAAATCCCCAACCCATTTTTATTTTCTTCTTTTATAACATCAGTATTTACTACTTAGGTTTTACTTATTCATTTACCTTTCTAAGTTTTGTGATTATATCTCATCATATATAAGTAACACGTAAAGTGCATTATATTTGAGAAACTTTACGACCCTAAACATTAGTTTTCACATTTGAAATTATTTTTTTAAGTTGGCCACAAATACTTGTCCTTTGATTTATTCACCAAAGTATTATCATTCATATTTACGTAGTCTGAGAATCTGATGTTTACTCCATTTGTATAAAAATTGATTTCAATGTGCCTACAAAGTCCTAAAGGATTAAAATATAAAATGTATACTGTTTACTTAAATAAGTCAAATACATTGTATGGCATTCCATTCACTTACATATCAGTAACTGTATTTTATTATGAATGCATGGTCTTGAGCCTTAAGTATTATAATCTATTTTTGATCCTCAGAAATACAGTAACCTTACCAAGATGCCTTTGGGGAATCCCATAAATAAATGCATATTCAGACTTTTGGGGTTTTTTTCTCTCCTATAAATGTTCCTTTCTTTCTCTTTTTTCTTCATGCAATGAAGACAGAAAAGATTCAGTGTTAATTTGGTGATGTGGTGACATCTGGTGCTTTATCTAAGCTTTCCAGTTTTCTATTTCTTGGGAATGTCTTAAGATAGAAACTGCTTCAGATACTTAAACTAAATCATAACATGCTTCTATAGACTTCATAAAGACCACAGATTGACTTTAATTTGAAAACAATTGCTTTTGTTTGTAAAATATATTTGCCATTAACTTTCCAAAAACTGTATAAAGATTTATTTTTAACAAAATAATGCAATATATTCTACTTTTTAGATACTATGAAAAATAATAAATACAGTATGTTAACCATACTAAGCTATGTTTGTTTTTCTCTTTCAATTTGGTCATTCAGGTTGGCAGCTTTGTATAGTATAGCAGAATTTTAAAAAATACTTTGCACAAAATTTATTCATTCAGACTCAAAATTAAGACTTGAAACACTTAGGCTTCTTTTAAATCACTTAACTTTGTAAAGTAAATGTTAGTGAGCTCATTGGGTGGCCCTATACATTGACAAAATGTAAAAATCAATTATTAGAATTATAATTACAGTTTTTCTATATATCATGCAGTGTTATTAAAAATTTTCCTTAAGAAGATAATACTGAATTAAATTTATTAGTATGCTATTATTTATCAATTTCTGCTTCACAGTATTATTTCAGATTTATTAATATAATATACTTGAGGTGGTTTTAAAGATAATCTTAATAATTTCCATTTATTGAGCTGACTTAACACCCTGCCCTGTACTAAGTATTTATTATGCATGAAACAGTAATAACTCTCAACTTATAGAACAATAAACAATAAGCTTAGAAAGGTTATGAGCTTTTATATGGCACACAACTTAATGACAAGGCTAGGACACTAGCCACATTTAGTTCCTGAGGCTTGGTGTCCTCTATCTCCTCTCTCTTCCCCACCCTCACCCTGGCCTTGCAGGGAATTTAGAAGTAGAGAGCATTCCTGAAAAGAGAAAAGGCAAAAAGGATACAAGAAGAGAAACTTTCAACATTTAGTAGGTGCTAACTGAGGCCAACTCCAAGCCTATCCACACACAAAGATAAATCTGAGATTTAAAAGATTACTACTAGGAGAAAACAGAACTATGCAGCTTATTATAATATATGATAATTTTTATACTACTGGTATAAATTGTAATAAACATAAAGGAAGGAATGATGGAAATTAAAGATGAATTTAGTAAAGTGAGCCCCTGAATATAAAGGCAAATTTTAACAATTAGAGAAGAAGGTAACTCTATTCAATGCAGTGGCACTTGAATTTTTATATGAATTTATGATCAGCCTGTCAAATTATGTAAAAAAGGAAACAGGATTTTGATAAGGCTCACTTGAGTTTGCAGTTTGTTTGAAGATTATTTCTATGTTAGCAATAATGTGTCTTCTGAATCATTAATATGGGATAAATTTTTCTTCGTTCAGAGGCTTATTAATTTAGTTTTATTCCATTAGGGCCAAACAAAACATTATGTAAAACTTCTATTCTTTAAAATTTATTGAGGTTTGTTTTATGAGTGGCCTAGGATAATTGATCTCTCTTAATACCTGCTCTGCAGGCTCGGAGAAATGTGTATTCTGCCATGGTGGATGGCAGTGCTCTATATATGTCAGTTACACCCTGTCCATTCATTGTTCTTAGCTCATCTATATATTTTCTTATTTTCTGTCTCATGGTTCTATCAGTTGCTGAGAAGTAACTACTGAAATTGCCACAGAATTTATAGATTTGTTTGTTCCTCTTTTCGGCACCATCAGAGTTGCTGTATTTTGAAGCTCTGTTGTTGGAAGCATATATATTTAAAATTGCTATTTCCTCATGAGAGGTTGTATGTTTATTATTATATATTGTCCCTCTTAAAATATCATCCTTAAAATATCACATGGGGAATTAGTACTAATATTTTTGTTTCAGTTGTCAAGTGTGATATATAAAACCCATTGTATGCACCATTTTTTCTCTCTTTTTTTTATGCTCTTTTGTTTTTTTAAGTAGGAAGGTATTTATTGATAGGAAAGCTCCCGAGGGGCAGGAGGGGTCCCGAGTGGATAGCCTTCTTCTCTTTGAATTATTACTTCTTTCTTCCTGATATTCTATAATTTCTTCTTTTATTAATTTTTTGTGTGAAGAATTTTATCTAGTTACTCTTTAAGAATTTATCTGCTTTTTAGGGATGGGGATTTAGCTCAGTGGCTCTGTGCTTGTCTGGGAAGTGCAAGGTCCTGAGTTCGATCCCCCGACCAAAAAAAAGGAATTTATCTGCTTGCAAAAAATCTTTTAGTTCTCCTTCAAAGAACATTTAAATTTCCTTTTTATCCCCAAAGAATAAATTCACAGACTATAAAATTTGTGGTTGATTGTTCTTTATTTGAGCCCTTGAAAAACATTTTGCCCCTTCCCCTGGCTTCTGTAACTTCAGATTAGAAATTCATGTTCACTCATATTGGTACTCCCCAGTAGATAAGATGCCATCTCTCTTCAACTGCATTCAAAAATTTTCTGTATGTTTAATTTTTAAATTTTTAATTATGATATTCTCAGAAATGAAAATTCAGGGACCCAAACACAGAATCAAAAACAATGGAGTGGGGAACAGATTCAGGTATATTACTAAGCCCTCCAGGTGTTTCTAATACAAACTAATTGTTGAGAAACAATTATCTAGATCTGTACTTGTAGACACATATGACTGTTGAAGATTAAATTAATTAAATAAAATTTAAATTCAATTTGTAAATTTCAAAAGTCACACTTGTCGTATTCAGTAAATAGTTGTGTATGGATTTTACTGCATTTCATAGCACAAATGATTATATTTCCATATTTCAAAAAATTCAGTTAAATAAGACTCATATAAGAATAAATGAAATTTGACAGATTAGTGTACTTGTAATTACGAATTGTCAGCTCTCCTAGATCATACCTTTGCCATTCCAGAGCTCCTCTCTACCCTTCCTTTCCTTGGCCTGAGTCTCATTACCTTATGCACAATTGTTACTTCAATAGATTCTCTTAACCTCTGGCTTCTGGTTGAATTTGGTCAAAGAGAAGCAACAGTCAACTTTGTTTAGTATCTTCTCTTTAATGCCACAACTTCAGTAAGGAACTTTTTTTCATGCTATGTCTAGTGTCAAAAAAATGTTTGGTAAATACTTGTTTCCTTGTCTTTTTTGTAATAGAAGCAGAATCCCTTGATTTGCCCTTGAACCTGACCCACATCTTTTATAAGCAACTTTACTAAAACTTCCTCGAGTCATCTCCTTAGAATGTGACATTCCCCCCACAATAATAGCTTATCTCTGATTCATAAACCAACAAATTTTGACTTTTTGTAGATATTTTAAACTAGCAATATTCAAGTACTATCCCCTAAAGGAATTTCTCTCAGAGTAAGCTTAAAGATTATTTGTTTTTTTTTTTTAATTAAGAGAAGGGAGTGAGAAAATTAAACAAATGATGATGAGGTACATACTATGATACTTGTATTTTCCTAGATATGGTGCACAAATTTGGAGTCACCAGAATTCCTTACAACAACAGAGACAATGTCTCTGAAGACAGAGGGAGTAGGAAAGAAACTTCAATGTAAAAAAGGATGGAAAGGAGGAGACTGTTAGGACCCCACCCCTGGGCAGGCCCACCAGCTGCCAGTTTGGCCTTGAGGTCAGACAGGGGAAGAAATTACAGGAAGAGATTTAGATAAAGACTAGGCTGGAGCTCATCAGTGGGTTGGGAAGGAAAAGCCACTGAGATCAAACAAGAGAAGATTATGTTTCCAGAAGAAGCACATAGAATTATATACAGTACACAGTACTCAATAGTGTGATAAATGACTGTTGCTGTTTTAGGTACTTATCATAACATGCTGTGGTTTTCAACCTTTAGAGCATAATCCTACTTATATAAAAGAGTTTACTGTAAAACAGTGTGCTGCTATGCCAGTGGTAGCCTCAGGTATCTCGTGTTTAACTGCTTATTTGGATAATATCAAGGGACCATGACAGATGATTGACGTATACCTTTTCAGTTTGCACTTAGAAGTTGGCACTCTGTGTGGTATTTTGTGATACACATATTTAATAACATATTTCTTAGATTATATTTCCATCACGTGTCATATGACTGTATTGAAATTTAAATTAAAAAATAATTTGGCCTATGTGGAGTCTACTAGCTAATTAGAATTTTTTTTCCAGACCACTATTTGTTCAATATTAGTTTTGAAAATCTTTTTAAAACAAATAACATCCTCTGATGTCTTTGTAATGCTTGAGATTTCTTTAAAATTATATGGAAAAATGTTTAAGTACTTTTCAGTTTTGTTTTGGTTGAGTTCTACTATATTTGAATATTATTATAATTTTTTTCCCTTTCATTGTTTTTCTTTGAATTACTTTAATTTTTGTATATATGTGTGTTTGATAATAAAGTTATACATTTAAAAAAAAGATGGGAAGGATAAATTTGGGGAGAAGTTGAATATTGCATGGAGGTTTTTGAAGTGAATTGCTCTCAGATCCATCAGATCCTTCCACCTCCCTCATGGATTAGGAGAAAATATTTGTAAACCATATATCTGATAAGGGGCTAATATCCAACTTAGAGAAAGGATACAAATAATTTAATAGCAAGAAAACCATTTCATTAAAAATGCGTAAAGGAACTAAATGGATACATCCCAAAAGAAAATAAAAACATGACCAAAACATTTCTAAAAAATTGCCTATAGTTACTGTTCTTCAAGGCAAAGTAAATTTAAAAACAGTGTGTTATCACTTTGCACCAGTTACAGTGGCTATTAGTGAAAAGATAAAAGATAAAGTGTTGGGGATGATGTAGAGAAAAGGGAACATTCATACACCACTACTGGAAATGTAAACTAATACATGTACGGCCATTATGGAAAACAGTATGGAATGAGTACAATGATGGCTACAAAAGCCTGAAAAGTAAGGTAGATAGGAAAAGAAAAAATATTAATCTAAATGTACAAAGTTTCAGTAAGACATCAGGAATAAACTTCAGAGTTTTATTACACAAAATGGTGACTATAATAATTTATATATTTCAAAATTGCTGAAAGATTACACTTTAAATAATCTTACCACAGAAATATGAAAGGGAAAGGATATATTAATTAGGCAGATTTAATTATTTCACATTGAAGCATATATCAAGACATTATATTGCACCCCATAAATATATACAATTGTTAGTTTTCAATTAAAAATAAAAAGCCTATAAAATTTTAAAAGAAACTCTATTGTTTCCTTGCTGTGCAGAGGTT